CACACACACACTGTGGGAAAGACGGGGGCATGTGAGGAACCACGGGCACCAGGCCCACGTCCTCCTGCCCAGGTGCCAGGCTGCCTGGCGTGCTGAGTGACTCCCAGGGGAAGGGGGGCTGCCGGCTGACGACAGAGCCGGCCAGCAAGAACTCTAGGCCCCCTGAGCCCCACCCTGGCTGGACATGATGGTCAGCAGGCTGTAGACCATGATGATGAGCTCTTCCGAGTCTGGGTGGGACCTCAGGATGCCCAGCAGGGAGGTGATCATGGTGTTGCTGCAGGGTGCCTTTGCCTCTGGGTCCTTCACCAGTGCTGCACAGCCACAGGGAGCCAGGGATCAGTCAGAGCAGGGTGGGCAGCGCCAGCTCCGCAAACTCTACCCTCCCTCCTGCCGGGTGGTACCCTCACCGTGTAGGAAAGGGGTGTGTGTGCCTGGCATGGCAAGGTCTCCTGCAGTAATGGCACCTGGCAGGGTGAGGCTCAGGCCACCAAGATGTGGCCACTCCCTGCCCTCAGCCACACCCTCTTCCTCCCAAGGGCTCAGAGCCACCCCCCCCCACCCCCGTCTCTTGGCCCAGGGGACCCCTGGCTGGCGTCTTGCCCCTCCATAGTCCTCAGAGTGGGGGCGGGGTGGGGGCAGTGCCCGGGGCGTGAGCCCTGCCCACCTTGCCCGAGGACGCGCAGCAGCAGGGAACAGCAGTCCAGCTGCAGGTCTAGGATCCGGTCATGTTGTTTCATGACCTTGAACACCAGCTCCACCAGCTCCAGCGGCCACGGCAGACCTGGCAGGGACCGAGTGCGGGTGGGCAGAGCAGCCCAGAGGCTGCTGGGACCCAGCAGGGCGTCCAGCAGGAGGCCCGTGGGGTCTTGCAGGTGGGCTACCCGCCACCGCCCACTGGCCAGGCTTGGGATCACATCCCAGTGCACAGCTGGGAGAGCTGAGGGTGTGAGCAGCAGTGGGCAGGCCAGCCAGGCTGCGCAGCTCCACCCAGCTCTACCCCCGCCGCGCTGGCCGCTGCCCACCCCAGCCTCCTCTCCCTGTCTAAAGTAGGCACAGTGGTCCCTGCATCGCAGGCTGTGGTGCGAAGGAGAGAGCTCAGTGTGTTGGCACCCAGGAAGCTGAGCTGCAGGACCCCACCCGGTGTCAGGCAGCCTCCCAGGAAGGCACCACCTGCACTCCTGTGGACTCCAACCGGCCAGTGGGAGTGAGGGGCAGAGAAGGCCTCTGCTGACCCTTGAGGGGGCTGTCGGAGGGGTGGGGTGGGAGGGGCTCTAGAATCTCAGATCTCCCAAGAACCTTGTCCATAGGACTGACTATGTTTTGTGGGTGCGTTAGGGAGATGGAGGAGCCCTGATGGTGTAGTGGTTACATGCGGCCTGCTAACCACAAGGTCAGCAGTTTGAACCCACCAGCAGCTCTACAAGGCTGTCTACTTCCATAGAGAGTTGCCCTAGGGTCCCATGAGTCAGCATCGCCTTGATGGCAGTGAGCTTGACTTGGAGGTAAATGGATGGATGGACAGGCGGATGGATGGATGGATGGATAAGGGAATCATAGATGATCAGATAGGAAGCGCCACAATGAGCTGTTAGCTGCAAGGTCAGCAGTTCAAACCCACCTATTGCTCTGTGTGAAGGAAAATCCTTAAAGAAGTTCTCAACCTGTGGGTTGGGACCCCTTTCGGTGTCAAACAAGCCTTTCACAAGGGTTGCCCAATTCATTACGGTAGCAAAATGACACCCAGCAACAAAAACAATTTTATGTTGGGGGGTCACCACCACATGAACTGTATAAAGGGTGGCGGGATTAGGAAGGTTGAGAACCACTGCCTTGAAGATTTCCAGCCTCAGAAACCCACAGAGGCAGTTCTACTCTGTCCTAAGGGATCGCTGTAGAGCCACTATGAGTCACGACTCCACTGGATGGCAGTGGGTTTTGTGGTTTTTGATGGGGCACTGTCAGGTTACACGGGTGACTGGGAGTTGGCACTGACTCCGTGTAACCTGATGGCGCCCCTTTGAAGCGGGTCGTGAGGACAGGGGGCCGGCCGACCTCGGGGCAGGGCATGGGGTCACTACCTAGGTCGTCGTCATTCATGATCAGGAGCTTCTTCATGGCCTTGAGCTGCACTTCCGGCCGGTTGGGGAAGCTGTTCATGACCTCTGCAGGAAGGACAGGAGGGGTCTCCCAAGGCCCGCCAAGCCTCCCGGGCCCAGCTCCTGCTCAGCTCAGGCCACGCGTACTTTCCCATCTGGTGACTGACTGGGTTGTGCCCGCCACCCCCCACAGCCCA